TTTGGACTGCAAATATGGATTTAACCCACTTGCCCTAAGGACGGTCGGATATAGTAAAAGGTAATCACTTAACATTCGATTTAACCCATTAATTTGGTAACGTGTTGTCTCAAAACTCCTAGGTTCAATTTATTTTGAATCTAATGCAGTACTATCAACAAAGGTATTTTATTCCATCCCTATAAACAATGATGTTTGCGAAGATGATAGACCAAGGCTCAAAATCTTGGTCTAATTTGATTTCTAGAGTCAAACAATAAAATTAAAAGTTTGGAAAAGTAATAATAAATACGGCACTGTGGTTTCAAATATATACTCATTACTCTTCAGATTCATGTATGGTGAAGGAAACACTAAAAAAGATCAAGTTTTGTAGGTCCCTCTCATATTAATCAACTTATAAGCGTTATTTTCATTTCTTTATCTTTTTGTACTATTTGACTAATCATGATATTGATTAGACTAATCTCATCGCTATCCTTCGGCTTATGTCAGGTCTAAACACAGTAATTAGAGTTAGATTTTGTGCTCTTTTGTTTATTACTATTACCAAATCTACTCCAAATCTTATTCCAAAATGAGTTTTGGAATAAAATTATTTCCAACATCACTCTAAATTTCACTCCAAAATGGAATAAAAGGTAGATTTACTCTAATAATCATATTTTCTATTCTATTATTTTTGTTTTTCACTCCAGATTCTACTCCAAAATATAGTAAAGTTGGAGTAAAACTTAACTCTATTTTAAAATTACTCTAAAATAATGGGTTGAAGATGGTTATAGAGTTACTCTATTTTAGCCATAGCGATTAGCGATGGAACAAGGCTTATTCTTTAATTTTTTTTTTATAAGACCAACCCATTTATTGAAATACTTTTAGGTTCCTAGATTCACGTCATGTGACTTGTTGATTTCCAACAACTAATATCAATATTGTACTCATTTCTATATAAAAAAAGGAATTTTATTTTATTCTTATTCTCAGGATATACAGGATTTCGATAAATTCAGAGTACCCATTATTATTTTAATTTATAGCTTGCAAGTTACATAAAAACACATTTATTTTCCTTCCAGAAAAAACATATAAAACGGACAAGTTGAGAGGCTAAACGAAAATTTATACCAAAAGTTAAATATTTTTAATCATTAATTATACATTAGTGACCAAAAAACAAACAATTGTTTACAAGATTAGTAAAAATAGAAGAACAATTAAAATTTTAAAAGAGCGTCCAAGTTCGGTTCATGTAAGTACAAATGGGACCCATACGTTTCTTAAAATAAGTAAATTCCCCAAAACCTTCCTCCTAAAACCAACGGCTCCGACCTTTACTTACACCTATACATACACTTTCCTTTCTTTTTCCCATACGGCGGCTTGAAGGCGGTTTTACGCAGTGTCCGCCACTAATCAGCTCAAAATTTACAAAACTCCGGCGTGTTATATATGTATATGTAATAAATATTCATACTTGCACGTTTCTATATAGATTTCTGATTTGTCACTATCTCTTCTCTTTTCAAGATTCTTTTTTCTTTTAGATTTG